GTGTGTCTTGATACATCCACAGACGGGACAGTTCATGTCATCACAGGAGTGTTAGAATGAGGGATGTATTCGGTGTATCTTGATACATCCACAGACGGGACAGTTCATGTCATCACAGGAGTGTTAGAATGAGGGATGTATTGGGTGTGTCTTGATACATCCACAGACGGGACAGTTCATGTCATCACAGGAGTGTTAGAATGAGGGATGTATTGGCTGTGTCTTGATACATCCACAGACGGGACAGTTAATGTCATCACAGGAGTATTAGAATGAGGGATGTATTGGCTCTGTCTTGATACATCTACAGACGGACAGTTCATATCATCACAGGAGTGTTAGAATGAGGGATGTATTGGGTGTGTCTTGATACATCCACAGACGGGACAGTTCATGTCATCACAGGAGTGTTAGAATGAGGGATGTATTGGGTGTGTCTTGATACATCCACAGACGGGACAGTTCATGTCATCACAGGAGTGTTAGAATGAGGGATGTATTGGCTGTGTCTTGATACATCCACAGACGGGACAGTTCATGTCATCACAGGAGTATTAGAATGAGGGATGTATTGGGTCTGTCTTGATACATCTACAGACGGACAGTTCATGTCATCACAGGAGTGTTAGAATGAGGGATGTATTGGGTGTGTCTTGATACATCCACAGACGGGACAGTTCATGTCATCACAGGAGTGTTAGAATGAGGGATGTATTGGGTGTGTCTTGATACATCCACAGACGGGACAGTTCATGTCATCACAGGAGTGTTAGAATGAGGGATGTATTGGCTGTGTCTTGATACATCCACAGACGGGACAGTTCATGTCATCACAGGAGTGTTAGAATGAGGGATGTATTGGCTCTGTCTTGATACATCCACAGACGGGACAGTTCATGTCATCACAGGAGTGTTAGAATGAGGGATGTATTGGCTCTGTCTTGATACATCCACAGACGGGACAGTTCATGTCATCACAAGAGTGTTAGAATGAGGGATGTATTGGGTGTGTCTTGATACATCGACAGACGGGACAGTTCATGACATCACAGGAGTGTTAGAATGAGGGATGTATTGGCTGTGTCTTGATACATCCACAGACGGGACAGTTCATGTCATCACAGGAGTGTTAGAATGAGGGATGTATTGGCTGTGTCTTGATACATCCACAGACGGGACAGTTCATGTCATCACAGGAGTATTAGAATGAGGGATGTATTGGCTCTGTCTTGATACATCTACAGACGGGACAGTTCATGTCATCACAGGAGTGTTAGAATGAGGGATGTATTGGATGTGTCTTGATACATCGACAGACGGGACAGTTCATGACATCACAGGAGTGTTAGAATGAGGGATGTATTGGGTGTGTCTTGATACATCCACAGACGGGACAGTTCATGTCATCACAGGAGTGTTAGAATGAGGGATGTATTGGGTGTGTCTTGATACATCGACAGACGGGACAGTTCATGACATCACAGGAGTGTTAGAATGAGGAATGTATTGGGTGTGTCTTGATACATCCACAGACGGGACAGTTCATGTCATCACAGGAGTGTTAGAATGAGGGATGTATTGGCTGTGTCTTGATACATACACAGACGGGACAGTTCATGTCATCACAGGAGTGTTAGAATGAGGGATGTATTGGGTGTGTCTTGATACATCCACAGACGGGACAGTTCATATCATCACAGGAGTGTTAGAATGAGGAATGTATTGGGTGTGTCTTGATACATCCACATACGGGACAGTTCATGTCATCACAGGAGTGTTAGAATGAGGGATGTATTGGGTGTGTCTTGATACATCAACAGACGGGACAGTTCATGACATCACAGTCGTTTTAGAATGAGGGATGTATTGGGTGTGTCTTGATACATCCACAGACGGGACAGTTCATGTCATCACAGGAGTGTTAGAATGAGGGATGTATTGGGTGTATCTTGATACATCCACAGACGGGACAGTTCATGTCATCACAGGAGAGTTAGAATGAGGGATGTATTGGGTGTGTCTTGATACATCGACAGACGGGACAGTTCATGACATCACAGGAGTGTTAGAATGAGGAATGTATTGGGTGTGTCTTGATACATCCACAGACGGGACAGTTCATGTCATCACAGGAGTGTTAGAATGAGGGATGTATTGGCTGTGTCTTGATACATCCACAGACGGGACAGTTCATGTCATCACAGGAGTGTTAGAATGAGGGATGTATTGGGTGTGTCTTGATACATCCACAGACGGGACAGTTCATGTCATCACAGGAGTATTAGAATGAGGGATGTATTGGGTGTGTCTTGATACATCCACATACGGGACAGTTCATGTCATCACAGGAGTGTTAGAATGAGGGATGTATTGGGTGTGTCTTGATACATCGACAGACGGGACAGTTCATGTCATCACAGGAGTGTTAGAATGAGGGATGTATTGGGTGTGTCTTGATACATCTACAGACGGGACAGTTCATGTCATCACAGGAGTGTTAGAATGAGGGATGTATTGGGTGTGTCTTGATACATCGACAGACGGGACAGTTCATATCATCACAGGAGTGTTAGAATGAGGGATGTATTGGATGTGTCTGGATACATCCACAGACGGGACAGTTCATGTCATCACAGGAGTGTTGGAATGAGGGATGTATTGGGTGTGTCTTGATACATCCACAGACGGGACAGTTCATGTCATCACAGGAGTATTAGAATGAGGGATGTATTGGCTCTGTCTTGATACATCTACAGACGGACATTTCATGTCATCACAGGAGTGTTAGAATGAGGGATGTATTGGGTGTGTCTTGATACATCGACAGACGGGACAGTTCATGTCATTACAAGAGTGTTAGAATGAGGGATGTATTGGGTGTGTCTTGATACATCGACAGACGGGACAGTTCATGACATCACAGGAGTGTTAGAATGAGGGATGTATTGGCTGTGTCTTGATACATCCACAGACGGGACAGTTCATGTCATCACAGGAGTGTTAGAATGAGGGATGTATTGGCTGTGTCTTGATACATCCACAGACGGGACAGTTCATGTCATCACAGGAGTATTAGAATGAGGGATGTAGTGGCTCTGTCTTGATACATCTACAGACGGGACAGTTCATGTCATCACAGGAGTGTTAGAATGAGGGATGTATTGGATGTGTCTTGATACATCGACAGACGGGACAGTTCATGACATCACAGGAGTGTTAGAATGAGGGATGTATTGGGTGTGTCTTGATACATCCACAGACGGGACAGTTCATGTCATCACAGGAGTGTTAGAATGAGGGATGTATTGGGTGTGTCTTGATACATCGACAGACGGGACAGTTCATGACATCACAGGAGTGTTAGAATGAGGAATGTATTGGGTGTGTCTTGATACATCCACAGACGGGACAGTTCATGTCATCACAGGAGTGTTAGAATGAGGGATGTATTGGCTGTGTCTTGATACATACACAGACGGGACAGTTCATGTCATCACAGGAGTGTTAGAATGAGGGATGTATTGGGTGTGTCTTGATACATCCACAGACGGGACAGTTCATATCATCACAGGAGTGTTAGAATGAGGAATGTATTGGGTGTGTCTTGATACATCCACATACGGGACAGTTCATGTCATCACAGGAGTGTTAGAATGAGGGATGTATTGGGTGTGTCTTGATACATCAACAGACGGGACAGTTCATGACATCACAGTCGTTTTAGAATGAGGGATGTATTGGGTGTGTCTTGATACATCCACAGACGGGACAGTTCATGTCATCACAGGAGTGTTAGAATGAGGGATGTATTGGGTGTATCTTGATACATCCACAGACGGGACAGTTCATGTCATCACAGGAGAGTTAGAATGAGGGATGTATTGGGTGTGTCTTGATACATCGACAGACGGGACAGTTCATGACATCACAGGAGTGTTAGAATGAGGAATGTATTGGGTGTGTGTTGATACATCCACAGACGGGACAGTTCATGTCATCACAGGAGTGTTAGAATGAGGGATGTATTGGCTGTGTCTTGATACATCCACAGACGGGACAGTTCATGTCATCACAGGAGTGTTAGAATGAGGGATGTATTGGGTGTGTCTTGATACATCCACAGACGGGACAGTTCATGTCATCACAGGAGTATTAGAATGAGGGATGTATTGGGTGTGTCTTGATACATCCACATACGGGACAGTTCATGTCATCACAGGAGTGTTAGAATGAGGGATGTATTGGGTGTGTCTTGATACATCGACAGACGGGACAGTTCATGTCATCACAGGAGTGTTAGAATGAGGGATGTATTGGGTGTGTCTTGATACATCTACAGACGGGACAGTTCATGTCATCACAGGAGTGTTAGAATGAGGGATGTATTGGGTGTGTCTTGATACATCGACAGACGGGACAGTTCATATCATCACAGGAGTGTTAGAATGAGGGATGTATTGGATGTGTCTTGATACATCCACAGACGGGACAGTTCATGTCATCACAGGAGTGTTGGAATGAGGGATGTATTGGATGTGTCTTGATACATCCACAGACGGGATAGATCATGTCATCACAGGAGTGTTAGAATGAGGGATGTATTGGCTGTGTCTTGATATATCGATTCATGACATCACAGTCGTTTTAGAATGAGGGATGTATTGGGTGTGTCTTGATACATCCACAGACGGGACAGTTCATGACAGCACAGTGGTTTTAGAATGAGGGATGTATTGTGTGTGTTCTGAGACACAGACGGGATTGTTCATAATATCACTGGTGTTAGAACGAAGGCTACAACAACGATGGCCTAAGTAGAGCTTTCACAATGTTTCCTAGTGGGCATGTCTAAGAATTTTAAATAATTGATCCATCAGTGACCAAAATGATGTCAATGAAATTCCCTAATTCCCCTGTTCCATTGATTTCAAATATTTTCAACTCGGAAAGGTAACGCCTGCAAATAATTTCCCGCGAGTGTTAATGTTCAACACGTATCACACATTTTTCTAATGGTATTTATTGAAAGAACAAGTATACACCAAGCCAACACGACAAACTACAGCAATACATAATGTGATTATAACAAGAAAGGTAGAATTAGGTAAAATCATACATACATAGATAAGCATAGAAGAGAAAACAGTTCACGTTGACACAATCCCAATAACAAATACTCAAAACATGTTTAATACTTGCGTTAACACTTCCAGTCTTCTAATACAAAATCCCGTTAGTTACAAGAAAGATCGTAGCCATCAGTTGTCAAGATACAACAGCATGTAATCATGAATCATGGTTATTTCTCGCTGTCTTGTAAACAGCAACGTTACTACTCATTCATGGAGTGAAATTGTATGTACATGCCGTAATAATCACCTATTTTCCTCATTTATGAAGAAAGAAGACTTTTGGAATACACTCATGAATGCACTCATCTTTTATGAATAGTGTCACATTAAACATTAATACATTAAACATTAATACATGAACACATTATACATCATTCGTGGCTACCATAAGGATCAAGGCAAAAGGCTCACTAGTACCCACGACTTCGACTCCAACGTGTTTCAAAGTACAAAACATTTTCGTAGAAAATCCACTTATCGAAACCAAACTTTCACTACAGTTCTCCAATTGGTATAGAAATGAATTCTAAGTTTAAAAAAACGAACAATAGCTATGATGTTTCAGAAAATAAAAATATTAAAATCAAACTTTGCACTGCACCTCTCCTATTAGTATGGACACTTGAACCCTAGCTGGAAAAGAATCCATATACTATATACTCCGACAGTTGTAGGTCGAGGTGTAATAATGCGGAGCCGAAACCGCATGTGACATGGACAGTGTATCTCCATTCTTCTGAAACTGCTTTCGCTCAGTCTAATGTCTTAAGAAGTTTGGCCATAATGAATAAGGTGTAAAAGCATATCAGGAGAATATGTTGCAGAGAGCGTGAATAAATGAGAATAATCTAAATGGTGCACATTTATTTCATACGCATGCACGAGAACATTGACTGAAGCAGAACTACAAATCATCACAAGACGTCACAACCTACAAATACTACTCTCATCAAATTAGACTACCTACTGGTTGTCGAAGTGTTGTTTATTGTGACTTAAATTGCCTGACCGGTCAAACTGGTGATTTATTTTCCAACGCATAGTAGTTCTGTAACGTTACAAACTGTTTATCTATTTACATTTGATGTACTCCAGAGTTTAGAATGTTTTGTCACAAACATCACATCCTTTCGTAATTATATGTGTTTGGTCGAAGTTTTGTATTCACAACTGTCTTGTTGAGTTTAAAGATTGAAAATATCAATATGTTGTTTCCTTTCTCTTCTGATAATACCATGCACGTATTCGTTTTTACTCAATATTTCAAGACATCATAATGTCCATGGTGAAGAACACTAATTAATATAATGCGCGAGCGCCTCTATTTACATAACAGAGCATGGTTTTACATTCGCTGGGCAGAAATATATACCACAGCGGACGAACATATCTCAGCCGGCAGATGCAGCTTTCTCTCCTAGGCATCAGGGGCATCATCATACATGCTCGACTGAAGTTTTAAATCTATCATCTTCTCCACTTGGTCAGCTGCAGAGGTGAGGATTCTGTCAAGAGCTTTCAAGTGAAGCAGCTTGGTCTTGGTGTCTGTTTCTGTTTCCGTCACATAATTCTTGACATAGCTGATGGAGTATGGTGGAATGCCAGTTTGTTCTGACATGTTCTTCACTGCTTCCTGTACTAGAGGTGAATTGTACAGGTTAGGGATGTTATCTGGGTCCTTGGACTGTGGGTCACACTCATCCAGGTGAGTCAGCACCAGGTGGTAGGACAGGGCTGAAACACGATACATTTAATCGGTACAGGCGGAATTACACAAGAACAGACTCTATAGTATACTGTAATGACCATCACAAACAACAACACATACCACTGATCATGTGTTAATACTTATTCCAAAAGGAGTGACCTTGACATTTTGTCTTCAACACTTTGACAATAATTTTATACATACATATTTAAGATGTCAATTTCTGGATCTACTACATGTACGTATCCAAAAGATTTTGCTTTCTCGTGAATGAAAACAATTATACTACTAAACGTTTGGTAAGGATCACCACTTTAAAAGCTCATGCATCAAATTGAGTGCATCTGTTAAAAGTGCGAAAGACAATATTGCACGAAGACGTGTTTAGTTGACAAAAGTCCGTTGTCATGTGCCACAAAAAGTGACAAATAATAAGTCATATCCTGCGTCCAAAAAAATACCATAAACAGCAGGAAAAGAATGCTTGTTTTGATTAAAATATCAAAGGTAAGGTATCTAAATCTGGTATCCACCATCATCAAAATGGGAGGCCCGTGAACACGCCGGGGTAGAATAGGTCTTCAGCAACCCATACTTGCTGTAAAAGGCGACTATGCTTGTCGTAAAAGGCGACTAACGGGATCGGGTGGTCAGGCTCGCTGACTTGGTTGATGTATGTCATCGATCCCAATTGCGTGGATCGATGCTCATGATATTAATCACTGGATTGTCTGGTCCAGACTCGATTATTTACAGACCGCCGTCATATAGCTGGAATATTGCTGAGTGCGCCGTTAAACAACAAACCCACCAACCAATCCAAATGGGAATGAATTGTTAACTGATGAATGAGATATTGCTAATAAACTTTGTGAAACTTTAGCTAAACATTCTTCTTCATCTAACTATGTTCCTCAATTCCAAAAAAATACCATAAACAACAGGAAAAGAATACTATTAATTTTGATGCAGATAATGGGTAAGATTAAAATGAAGTATTTTCTCTTCATGAGCTTCATTCTGCCCTTGGGCAAGCTAAATTACCGACCCATTTCATTAACTAGCTGCGTTTGCAAAACCATGGAACGGCATGGTCAACAATAGGTTGACATGGTACTTGGAATTCAATAATTTCATCATAAATATTCAATGTGGTTTTCGTAAAAGCCGAAGTAGTGTCTATCTTTTTCGATTTAGAAAAAAGCTTACGAAACTACATGGACCCACGGTATTTTAAAGGATTTACATGATTATGGATTGAGTGAGTGAATGAGTTAAAATTTAATGTCGCATCGGCAATATTTCAGCCATATAGCGACGGAAGCAAGTTAATAATCGAGCATAACAATATTATATACACAGTTTTAAAACACAGGCTATAGGCCACCAGTAACCAAAGCTACGCACCTCGCTGGGGATCATGGGGGCTTACATTAGGAGATTTTGGATTGAGAGGCCGTTTGCCTCAATTTATATCCAATTTTTTGTGAGTGAGTGAGTGAGTTGGGTTTAAAGCTGCTTTTTTAACATTATTCCAGGTATATCATGGCGTGTCAGCTTAATGTGGGAGGAAAGCCCGAAGTGATGCAGGTCTCAGACGGTGAAACCCACGAGCACGGGTGTGGTGCTGACAAACCTAGAAACATAATCGGAGCGAACCGCCATTCGAGCCCACAATCATAGGTTTCTGGCGTGCCCAAGAGATGCAACTCTGCACAGCGAATCGCGGCGCCTTAGACGACTGGGTCACCCGTGCCCCCTCTTACTTTTTAACTCGCAGACAATTCCTGGTCCGCGAGGGCTGAACCCTGTGTGATCATTATAATCAGGCTCAGGGTGTCCCACAATGCAGTATCTTGGCTGTTACACTATTTAGTATTAAGATAAATAGCCTGTCTGAGGTATCTAAATGATTTTATAGATGGGTCACTTTTCGTGGATAGATTTAACATATTTTGTTGTGGTAAAAATAGGCATTCAATTGAAAGACAATTACAGTTATGTATAAAATAAAATTCAAAATTGGTCACTGGAAAATGGGCTTAATTTTTTAAAAGCCAAGACTAATTGTATACATTTGGTCGAAAATATAAGCCACATCAAGACCCTGTACTATATCTTGATGGCACACATATAACATTTCATAGGAAGACACATTTCTGGGACTTATTTTTTATAGCCATTTGAAATTTAAACCCCATATCAAATACCTTAAAGCTTTATGCCTGAAGGCACTTGACTTGTTAAAAGTCGTTTCAAATACAAAGTGGGGAGGTGACCTCAAGACCCTCCTCTAACTACATAGAGCTCTCATCCGTTCAAAACTGGATTACGGCTCCATTGTTTATAGGGACGCATGCAAAAGCAATCTAAAAATACTGGATTCTATACATCATCAAGGACTACGGCTCTGCCTTGGATCCCTCAGAACTTCTCCCGTAAACAGTTTATATGCAGATGCTGATATCGTCTAGATTACCGAATGACAGTTCCATTTTTACAGCAGAAGCACAGGCAATATTAACTGCTCTCAAATATATAAATACTCAATCTAAACAGAAACGGTTTATTATCTTTTCTGATTCACTTTCCTGTCTTCAGGCAATTAAGAATATGTCTTCTAAACATCCACTTTTACGAGAAATAATAGAACTACACAATGATCTTGCTACTGGCCAGTACGACATCGTCTTTTGTTGGTTATCAAGCCATGTTGGTATCACTGGTAACACAATGGCTGATGCTGCTGCGAAAGCAGCACTCACCAAATCTGTGACACCACTTCTTATCCCATACACTGATTATAAACCTGTAATTAGATCTTACATTCGTGATCTGATGCAAAAGAAGTGGGACACCCAAGTAGGTATCCATAAATTACATGAAATTAAACCAAATATCGGTTATACCTTCTTGGGTTGTTAGTCCAGATTTGAGGAGGTCATTATACGACGATGTCGTATTGGCCATAGCAAATACACTCACGAATATTTGTTGAAAGGTGAAGATCCTCCATTGTGTACACCTTGTGATGAGAGAATCACGGTCAAGCATGTCTTGCTTGACTGTGTTGATTTTGCCATCACAAGGGATAAATATTTCAAATCATCATCTCGCAAGGATCTTTTTTATCATTTTAATTCTCATTTAGTTATTGGGGTTTTAAAAGAGATAGAATTGTTTAACAAATTTTGATAATATATTGTATAAAATGAGTGACCTTTTAAACATTGGTAGAATAAAATTATATCTAAGTTTGTTACTGGCCGTATCCTCATAGGGGGTTGACGTAGTGTAAAATTATTGTCCCACTGAGAGGATATTGTAAGTCCATGTCATTCAAAGAATATTTCTGGCTACTTGTGTCTTAAACGTATAATATATATTTTTACTTGTGGCTAACTTTGCATACAATCGCCAGTTGCTGAGGGTATGATGTAAATCCTGCTAGGGTCCATGCAGGTAGCAAAGGTACTGTAAGTCCCCATGGTCCCCAGTATGGTGGTCTGCCTTCAGTGGCTGACGATCTATAGACCATTTTTATATTGTGTCGTCTGTTATAATCTGATTATTTTATTGTTCTAAAACAAGTTTTACAATTGAAATCTGTAATATTTTGCTAGTTTTTACGCTGTCCTTCGACGACAGGTCATAAGATATTATATAAATGCATAACTTGCTCAAGTCACGATATGGCTGAAACAATGCCGATGTGACTTTTAATATTAACTCACTCACTCACTCTTCACGTGTCAGAAGCAGTGTAAATCCCCACAGTTCCTATTGTGATGTCCTACATTTGGTTGCTGGCGATCTATAACCCGTTCTTATATCGTGTTGTTGAATCGTAGTTTATTCTTTTATATGCTCTCAAACTAGTTTTAACTAAAATCTATGATATTCTAGTTATTGTACTGTCCGTTGGCGAGAGGTATTGTACTAGTATGAATTTCTTTGTTATCAAATGTCTGACTTTATCTCGTCACAATATGGTCGTAATATAGCGGATGGGACGTTAAATTTTAACTCACTAACTGACATTAAATAGTACAACATTCCTGACAACTAATCATTGTCCAAATACAATGCAATACAATGAGCTTCTACCGATTTTCAACAGAACCGACATAATACAGTTACAATAATTGTTTAACAGTAAAATACATTGCCTTATAACAGCAGCAACGTACAAAAAAGTAACGATTTTACTTTGTTTCATGACCTGCGGTCCTGGCATTAGTCTAAACTTACCACCTTCTCCCCTTAATTTTATGATGACATCTAGCCGTCTTCCACCTCCAGAGTTTTAGTTATCTTGAAACAAAGAAAAGGACATGAATCCAGATTGTGAGTAATGCTTACATACATACCTATTTGTCTACAACCTATCCACTACGATGATTAAACTATGTCGTGCTTACCTGGTCATCAAAGCGAACCTTGCCTGATGTAATAGCTTCAATATTCTCCGTTTTGAAATCACTGGATTCAAATATTCCTGGCATGTCAATAATCCAGTGATCTCCGTATCGTGCAGACTGGAACTGTAACATCAAGGCTCTTAGTTTAAGCTTGGGATAAAAGTGGGATCCACTGGCACCTAGTATGTTTTACACTTTGAACAATGTACACGCAACAAAGAACATGATTAACGTGATAAGGTACAAACTAGTATACTATTTTTAAAGGCACACTTCGACTGACCGGTATAGTTGGTGAGGGGTGTTTTTTTAAGCAAGCATCAGTTGCGACGGACACGTTTGATACCTACATAAAATCACGAGAGAGCACAATGGCGACAGAGGAGTTGTCTTAGTATTACGATGTAAACAAAACGATAATCAATAAATAACCAGTGAAGAGAAATTAGGATTATTCCAGATTTGTTCATGAGAAAGTACACACCCTGCTAGTTAGTGTGGTGCCGATATTACCAACGGCGTAATAGGTGGCAGGTGTGTCAGAATCCTTCAGTGCTGATCTCAAGCCATTGCAGAAGGAGGACTTTCCAGAACCGGTAGGACGGGGTTGTTGTAGGGCTGCCCATGTAATTGTTGTGTTGGTGAGTCAGTAGGTGTCAGTGCTTCCCACAGCTATATGTGTAGGACTGGATTGTCGTAGGGCTGCCCATGTAATTGTTGAGTTGGTGAGTCAGTAGGTGTCAGTGGTTCCCACAGCTACATACACACATGACATTAATGAACAATCACAAAACTAAAAAGTGCACCATAAATAAGTAATTCGGAGTAAATCGCTTGAAAACCAGAAAGTGGAGCAGTGTGTAAGCGTTGCTGATCTTGGTAACATGTAAAAGAGCATTAAAAGAAATAAGATTTGAAACGTATCAAATACTTCTAGCTATCGTGATACAACGTTCCATCTGTGCGCATAGTGTTTATATTTATAGGAACGTTCTATATATAAGTAAATGCCACTTTATAATGTCACTGATCGTCGTATTTAAAGCAGACACGTTGGTTAAAGTAGACCTCTTCTCCCTATCCTCTAAACAGTCACACAGGTGTTCGGTCCGACTTCGCCCGGGCTGTCAAAATCAACTTTAAACTCACATATGTATCTTCAAAAAGATTCACATCTATAAATCTATAATCTATAATCTTTAGATTAGTATTATATCTACCTAAATACCACTTTATAGTGTCTCAGATCGCTGTACTTACAGAAAACGAGGTGCTCAAAGTGAAGCCCTTTTCCCTCTACATTCTCAACATAGTCTCTATCAGAAGTGTTTGTCTTGTGTTGGGTCCGACTTGGTCCGGGCGGTCAAAATCACATTTAAACACACAGATGTATCTTCAAATGTGTTTACAACTATAGATTAGTGTTATATGTACCTATATACCACTTTATAATGTCATGGTACATCGTATTTAAAGAAAACAAGGTGCTCAAAGTCAAGCATTTTTACTGTATTTTCTTAAGAAAATCTCTGTCAGAAGTTTTCAGTCCGACTTGGTCCGGGCTGTCAAAATCATCTTAAACTTCACAGATCTATCTTTAAATGTGTTTACACCTATAGACTAGTGTTATATCTACCTAAATACCACTTTATAGTGTCTCAGAACGCTGTACTTAAAGAAAACAAGGGGCTCAAAGTGAAGTTCTTTTCCCTCTACATTCTCAACATAGTCTCTATCAGAAGTGTTTGTCTTGTATTGGGTCCGACTTGGCCCGGGCGGTCAAAATCAACTTTAAACACATAGATGTATTTTCAAATGTGTTTACACCTATAGATTAGTGTGTTATATGTACCTATATACCACTTTATAATGTCACGGTACGTCGTATTTAAAGAAAACAAGGTGCTCAAAGTGAAGCTATTTTCCCTTTACATTCTCAACATAGTCTCTTTCAGAGGTGTTTGTCTTGTGTTTGATCCGACTTGGCCCGGGCGGTCAAAATCAACTTTAAACACACAGATGTATATTCAAATGTGTTTACATCTATAGATTAGTGTTATATCTACCAATATACCACTTTATAATGTCACGGTACATCGTATTTAAAGAAGAGAAGGTGCTCAAACTGAAGCCCTTTTCCCTTTACATTCTCAACATAGTCTCTATCAGAAGTGTTTGTCTTGTGTTGGGTCCGTCTTGGCCCGGGCGATCAAAATCAACTTTAAACACACAGACGTATCTTCAAATGTCTTTACATCTATAGATTAGTGTTATATCTACCTATATACAACTTTATAATGTCACGGTACATCGTATTTAAAGAAAGCAAGGTGCTCAAAGTGAAGCATTTCTACTGTATTTTCTTAAGAAATTCTATGTCAGAAGTATTCACGTATTTTTGTGCTTAAGTCACATGGACATTGTTTAGCTTCATAAACTGTTCATAAGAAACATGTCAGACAGCTTTGACATCATTGATGACTTAGTCTTATGAGATGTGGAAATGAGCTCAAGTAAATACAGAAACAGAGGGTCTAAAATTGCCACAGTGTTAGGCCCGAAAGTCTATTTAGGATTACAATTGTGATTAAGGAGGTAGAGGGTAGAGAGAGAACAAGATTACACATCTTAATAAAACCTACGTGCCAAACAACTGCTAGTTCGTTCGTATCCGTAATCCGTCACAAACTGTGATGAACGCATAGTGTGTTCAATGAAGGAAATACAGCCCTTCAGATCTTTGTTTACTGAATACACCTTGACCTATGTTCAGTGATATCATTTATAAGATATTGAAGCTTCATGGCCGCCCATAGTTTCGAGGAAATGTCCTGGCTACACTTCAAGGTTTCGTGCTCAACAAACATATATGAATGTATATGATGTCTCATATTGATGTACCTTAATAATGCAATTCGACAAAGAAGATGTACAGATGCCTCGACAGCATTTTTGGCAGTCAACTACAAGTACAGGTAAACATGGCTATTAATGCTCATGTGTGTCAGGTTGCCCTTACCTCGCCGTCACATCTGTACACAAAGCAAGTGCATAGTCTAAACTAGGCTACATTTGCATTTCTTTAGCCGTTTACAGATGCCTCGACAACATTTTTCACACATGAATGACTTCAACCTTGGCTCTCAACTAGTACAGGTAATCATGGCTATTAATGCTCATGTGTGTCAGGTTGCCCCAACCTCACCGTCGTATCTGTACACAAAACTAGTCTAAACTAGGCTACATATGCATTTCGTCAGCCGTTCCAATAATGCAGTGCGCTGTCACAGCATGCTGCGTAGGTCTGTACAGCACAATGTATTTTATTAGTAATTGGTCGATCCTTCATAAATCATATTTTTGCCATTCATTTCACATATGCCTCGGTAGAATTGAGGTAGGGGAAGGACTTCTGGTCAGATAACAATGTATTCAGATATCCAGAAACTCGTTTATCCGGACAACAATTTAGAAAAAGCAATTGTCCGGATAAGCGAGGTTCGACTGTATAGCGCGTGATACATGACAAAACAGATGTGTTAGGACCTGATTCGCACTTGCTGAAGGGATACCAATGGACCCTGATCATAATACATTGGTTGCTTATTATTATTATTAATATTATTAAACATATTGTATTGTCCCAAAAAACAAAGGGATTGGGCACAAGTGCAGCACTTATTACCACCTTCTCCCTATATACAGTTATACATAATATTGCATAATGAAAATTAACAATTTACAGTTGAAGCATCACATTGTGGAAACATAGTGCGCAATATAAATTTGTATACAGTGCTCATATGAAGGATATGTACAATGTGCTGGAAAGTGAAGACAGTGTGCATCTCATACATATGCTAATATTATACATGTTAGTATTGTATATAGATTTAACAATATTAATGATTAACAGTTTGGAAACAATACTATGCTAGCTACTGAATCTGTTAGTCGTTTCTATAAATTTGTGCACAGACAAGAATATTTTTGTATTCAGGAAAACATCTAAGTTTGGATCACACAAAAAAGAATACTATTTAGAGTTGTTTGTCCTCCAAGATTATCGATAGCTGTCAGTAATGTCTCCCTAATATCATCATATAAGGTACATTGGAAGAAGAAATTGAATGAATTTTCACAAGCAGCTCCGCATTTACAGGAAATAGTATCAGATAATTAACACGAAACAGGTTGGAATTTAGTGTGCTACAATTGTGTCTCAATCTAGTGTGCAATATGTTTGTAGATCTCTCACCGCAATTATAGTGCATAGGTGGTGATGTAGGCTGCTCAGATGCGACAGCTTTAAAATAAGATATTGACAGACTATCCCTGGTTCCTGATGATAGTTTATTCCAATGGCCTAATGTATCTATAATATAAGACCTTTAAAATGTAGATGTCTGTGCAAATGGAACTACAAAATCATGGCGGTTTCTGAGATTATAACTGACCTTCTGTGACACAGCTGGTGGTATAAGATCAGTCATATATGAATGACATGGCTTATTTATTATTTTATACATAGTTTCAAGTTTGTTGACGTTTCTTCTATACGCTTATATATATATATGTATCCACGTCACACACACCTAGAACAAGTACACTTATTTGAATATTACTAATATTACATGAATGTTACTGAGCAGTCAGTTAGAGTTTATATCTTTGCGCTTAATCAGGAACATTAAGCCTTTCACGTATATTACAACTTTGTAAGTTAACTTTCCTTTCCAGAAATACCATAGCATGGTGACAGAGATGAACTTCTACCCCAAGAGATGTGTCATTGACTAAAATATGCTTTGTTAATTTGATTTCAAGTGATAGCCTTCACCTGGAAGGAATTTATATTTGTATTATTTCAATTTTTCTTTTCTTATATATCCCTCTGAATTTTGGGTTTTGAAATCGCATGTTGCAGAAATAACTCCTGTTGGACCCTTAGACTTGCAAGAATACTCTAATCATTGGCTGAAACATGGCCCATTTGTGCTTCTTGCTTTGTCAGACCAAACCCATACTGTTTAATTTCTCAAAAGCTTTAAAAGGGTTAAAGCTATTTTTGGAAGTATAAATGGGTTGATTGGTGACTACCACAGAAGTAGCAAATGTAGTTATGTCCGATGAAATTCTCTGTTTTGACTTGTGCTAATCGTTTCCGTGTTTTTCGGGTTTAACAACTAACTTGCCTTTGCGTGTGTTTGTTCCACCGGTGGTTCAGGATACGCTCACCTCTATGCAAACACCTGTTATCCTCACTGTTTGATAGTAGTTTATACACGTAAGTATGTATAAGTTGTATGTCATCTTAATATATCACTTGTGTTATCTCTCTTTTTGGGGTGTACTACAAACATAAATCAAAGTTTCTTTTGAGCTATCATGAATATCATAAAATACTTAGCAAGTCTATGCTTATCATTCCCTCTACTCCTACCAAAGGCTGTAATTGTGGCTAATTGTTACAGAGAGAGAGAGAGAGAGAGATTCTTTATTTCCTCCAGATGCGATTCCGAAGATTACAATGAATATATATTCAATTACACGCAGTTAACACAATAAAAAAAGGCACAACATATTTACAATTACACACAGTTTATCAAATTCAGATACCTAAATGATGACAGA